TTTGTATATTTTTTTTAACTAACCACTTTACAAAAATTATCTTAAAATCTGATGATTTGCTGAATTCCATGGTCTTGGTTAAAGATTAATTAACGTGAGCTCATCGTCCACCTCTGGTTGTGGATGTTAAACACACCATGTTTTGTTCTATTATCATGTTCTAAGATGTCTTTCTTCCGTTACTATTTCTAATTCATAAACCAACATAGAATCAAATACATCTATGCTCAAAGTTATTTTATGTATTCAACAACACTCAACATTCGATGATATGGATTGTATCTTGCGTTCTGGATGCGTTGGTTCTGGAAAGTCGAGTCCTCGGTGATAACTCTACACAGCTTTTATTGATGACGAAAATTCAAACAGGTGCTATAAAGGTAGTTTATTACCATCTAACCTCTGCTTAAGGAATCACATAGTTGAGTTTGGCCAACGTTTTTAACACAGGAGGTAGCTACCCCCTAACGGGAGCTTCATGTTCATCACTGCGTCTTGTTTTCGTTTCATACGTGATAAAATTTATGATTCTTCGCCCTGTAGATAACAATAGTAATCTGAGAACACGAGATACGGAGTAGGATACATTAAACTGAAACAAATGAAAATGGTCTCGGTCGCTCATACCGGACAAAATGCCCGTTGTTGGCGACTAAAAATCATTCCTTTTAGCCTCTGTTTCTTGGTTACTATACCTTCTAGAAAGAATTCTCAGTGGCTGTCCGGAATTTCATCTAAATTCAATTTGTATTGAAAATTCTCCAGAAAGAAAATGGCTTATAAATGTGCAAATAAAATGAAACTAGGTGGCTAGATAAACAGATCTGCTAATTCATTCAACCATTCATTAAGCGTAAAAATAGGTGAGGATTCTTGCGGAAAATCGCATGATCTTTTAAAGACACTGTTACAAAATAGAACCTTGGAAGGGGAAAAGATAACTTTCTTTTTATTTTTAATCTCCGCTTGAAGAATTTCCTTTTTTTTCGGTATTTCAACCTCCGTGATGTTTGTTTTCATGGTAACAGATGTATCTCATATAAAATTTGCTTTCGTAATACAAGTATTCTGATCTGTGTTTGTCAAAATAAAACAGACGCGATAAATACAATTAGATAATTTCTCTAAGGAAATTGCAGCGAGAATTTTAGAAGTATTCCAAGAAACCCCATCTTGAGGATAGACTACTCGGTAAGTTTAACTGAAGCTTTACAATTGATCTCCTATTAACTCTTCAGATATTATCCCTTTCACTTAATTAAGAAATATAAATGATCGTCCCCCAGAGTCTCTCCTAAACCACAGGATTTTCGGGCGTTTTAATGGCCACCTCTCTTCAAGAAAACAATTTCAAGAGCTTTGATCTACACATGCTCTGTTAGACAAGATTTGTACGTAGACGGTTGGCTGTATAAACTATCCTTGCTGTAAACGTTCTTTACCTTTACTTACTGGACGGTATTTACTTCCAAGTTTAGATCACAAATTTTTGGATGCTTCATAAACTTAAGCACTCAATCTGCAAAATTTTGGAATCTGATGTAACCTTGAAGATAATTCTATAACATATGTGCGTATCACCTAGCTGATCGAGAAGCCTATGTTTAACGCGTTAAATACTGTGCAAAATAATAGATGCTAATGTTTAAAAGAGGACTTGGCGGGGTAGAGGGTGTGGTAAAGTTTCGCCTCCGATTAGAAACTCGAAAGCAGGACAATGATAGGGAACGCGAATGAAATTGATAAAATTTATTAGTAAGTTTTCGTCTGGTCTCGCTTTCGGTTACTTTTGCCGTAAATCAATTGAGCGCAAGGTTTTTGAATTCACATAAAAATGTTCATTCTAAGGAAAGTGAAAAAAATATTATAACTCCAAAAAAGCATTCACTGGACTCTCTTATTTCTTAAATTAAGTCAAAAAGCTCTTTTCAAACCAAGTTTAGACAGTATTATTCTGCTCAGCTTTTGTTGCAATCAATTTACCTTAAGTCATCGCTACATCAATTTTTAAAAAGGAATATGAATGGTGGTAAAATCGGACCGGCCTGATGAAAAGGTTCGTTTATCAACCAGTGTTCTCCGGCTGGCTCAGTTAAATCTATCATTCTGATGAAATAATCCATTAGCAACTGGTTAGAGCTCCCATTATATTTCCTGTTTCGTTCTTTTAAAATTAACCCTGTAGAGAGCATGATGCCCAGCAATGGAAAGCCTCTTGAATGTGTATGAGACAAAATCTTTACTAAGATCTTTGTTCATAATGAAACTGAAATTGATGGAATATATTCTGGCATGTACAAACAATCCTATGTTATATGACAAACTATAACTGCTTATTTACATATTATTTATTTGTAATATGAGATGGAGGTGAAACCACCCCTAATGGAGCCGTTAAACCATAATACTTTACAACTATTTGAAGTGAAAAAGACACTTCGTCCATTTTTATCTCCTTTTTTCAGATATTTCCTCTCTATGCTATTTGTTCCTATATCTTTACACGGCTCCTAGTAACGTATAAATAACAAAAATTGTTTTCATCTTGTAATATAAATATGTTACACCGTGTTGGGTAAAACATTAACTACATGCGGCTCTTATTTTATCAATATTGCAATAAATAGTCCCCCAAGGAAAGACCCAGTGGTAAGTTTAATTCAATCGCTCATTACCTCATTAAAGGAAACTTAATACAACAGACTAGAACTTAAGTCTGATCCTGTCCTTACGGGGTTAGGGAAACTGCAACGTTACGTAACTGGAACAATGTCGTATAAAAAGAATCTCTGATCTATCTCCGTCGATCTCCTAGCTCCAACTGACTCGATACTGAAGGCGCGTACCACTATAAGGGTATAATTCACGTGTACAATTGCAAACTGGTTTATCAATTGTACAATAGTACACTAGGAAAATTGGGGCGTAAACTCGACAAAGAAACAAGACAGAACTTTTTTCCTACTTTAAATCAAAACAAAACGATTACGTAATCAAAGTCTTCTTCGAATGTTCATTACAAGTGTAGAAAAATAAAGGAGACATTAATGGCCAGTTATCGAAACAAATTGTAGCCGTTGTTTGACGAAACCGCTTCCTCAACAATCCTTAATTTACCTGGGCCTTTTATCTGAACATTAGTTTTTGGGAACAGTGTCAAGAGAGCTGAAATCCTACAGTGGAAGGACATTTATTTCAATCAACCCTTTTACAGAGAAAGCGTAAGGCCCACTCATCACGTAAAACCGTGGTTTTGCTTAGCCCTCGTGTAAATAACCGGCCCTTACCTGTCTTATAGGGTGTGTTTTATGCTGACCAAATGATGAAGGAATCCAAGTTAATCCCCTTTTCGAGTTGAATTTCTAAGTTTTTCTCGAAAAAGAGGAAATTTTTCAATTTTTGATTGACGTTTTTAAGCTACACATTGATAAATAATTGCCTCAGAATCAATCAATTGCAATCTAAACTTCTGAAATTTATTTGAATTGTTATAAAATTAGACCGGCACTTTCATATAAAGGTTTTGTCTATTTAAACTTTCCTGCTAGCTTAGTCAGTTTCTGGGCTAAATCCAATGATCTGATGAAATGATTCTATAATAATTGATACGAAATCCTTAATAAGTCCCATTCGTTTTGTTTAAATCAATTTTCTAAAGACCTTAGTACCGACTAATGATAAGCATCCTAAATGTGCATTTTTATTCGCCAAATTGTAAAACGAAAACATTCCGTGAGCAACATAACCATAACTATAACATTTATTTGTGATTAGACTGAAATTGAATAAACATATTCTTGCACGAACAAACAGACCCATGTGGTATGACAAAATCAACTGTAATTATTAAATTTTTGTAATGCAAATATTTTACACCATGTTGGGCAAAACAGTACCTGGCTCTCATTCTAGTAATACCGCTAGTAACAGTCCGGTAAGCAAAGAAAGGTAGGTGAGTTTCATTCAATGTCCCACTAAAACTAAAAAAACTAAGATAGAGTGAGACTGAGTTATCAAAGGTTATCAACAAAACGATTTTAAAGCATCTTATGGAAAATGTTCTTCCGTGATAAACAGTATCAATTGAACGCCTTGCAAAAACCTATCGGGAGAATAGAAGATACATTAAAAGTAACGACAACAGTATTGTACAAGTTGTACTTATAGATGGTAAAAGTATTTTAAGTACGCTTTTACTAAAGGCACCAAGAACTCTCCACCTGTTTTTTTTCAGTCTTCTTACATATCTTTTCTATAAAACGAACTTAGTAACACCTACAACAAACTCACTTCAATCTGGTTAACTCTGGTCGTCTCCCTAACTCCGTTCCCTTCCTCGCTCTTTCCCACTCACCGCTTCTCACTCTTCCATTTCTTACTGACTTCTAATTGAACTCTCTTAAATGCTTTTAAAAATGCTTAAATATTCGCTATTGGTAGGCAGAAGTGGGCATGCTGGCTAACTGATCTTGGAAGATTAAACATTTGTTGTCAAAACTCTATAACCCTCATGCTTAAGCGAAACTCTCACAAATGAACAACTCCACACTTGAATGCTTCCCATCAACCAAATCAGTCTTTAACTGAGTTCATATGACACCATGTTTTCTTTCACATGCGGCTCCTGTTCTGTGCGCTTGAGCTCTGCTGGTATTTATTCGTGATTTAAACGGGATACGCTGCTACTCCGGTAATTTGCTGTCTAAAGGCAAACATTATCTGCTGATACATTGTAGCAGGATTGTTCCATCAGACCACAAAATCTGCAAATAGTTTCACTTTACTAACAAAATAACGATGCAATTATCAACTGGGAGTTCAGCTGTTTATGTGAAATAAATAAAATAAAAAAAAAAAAGCTGACGCAATTTTATTCCCTTTCAGCGCCTACAACAAGAAAATATGCAGTCATCGCCGACATATATCTTCACACTACTCGTTTTGAGTGTGTATATTGTTTTTGGTAGGTACTTAATGCATGTTTCCAAGCTCAAGATTATATGCTCATAAGTTTTTTGAAACCATTATTACTTTTTTTGACCGCCTGTAAGATGCAAAATAGCAATAGCAAAATAGCGTTGATAGCATTCAACGCTAACCCTTCAGAAATAGATCACCGAGGCCGCCTAAAGCAAAGTTTTTGTTATGAACCCTAGTAAACCCGTGCACAAGGAGCCCTTGCCAAAATGGGGGAGTCTGCACAGTAACTGGAGATGACTCTTACAGCTGCAAATGTGCCGACGGATATTATGGACAAACCTGTGAAAAAGGTAGAAGCACGATAAATATGGTATTTTGTACATAGAGGCTATTAATTTCTTTTATTATTATTTAAACATATTTATTATTGTTTTCCCCAAAAGCGCTAAGGCATAACGAGGGGGATTACAGTGTTATAGATATAAAATCAATTTATTCAGGCTCACACAGGAACAAACTCATAACCAACACACACAAGTTGCAATACAACGAGTTAAACTTACTAAACTAGGCATATATTAATTAAACAATCAAACAAAGGCCTCAGAAAACGCGATTAGTGTTAATTATAAAACTTGGTTCTTCGCGAAAAAAGGCACAGCTGACGTCGTAATTTACAGACTCATCACCGTACAATAAAAAATTTAGTTTCCTAGCATCACCGCCGGATGACCATGTTTCACCTAGAATATTAGCAGTAGAGGTAAGGAGGACCTCACGTTGAGCGGCATACCTCGGGAAATGCAAGAATAAGTGTTTCACCGATTCAGAATCAAAACTGCACTCGTAAATAAGCGACACACAACTATTAATTTTGAAGAGATATTCTCTTAGTATAGGTAATCACATGATTTCGAGTACAATTTGGAATAAATAAGCAGGAGTAAATTATTTTAAGACTAACAAAATTGCACGAGCCCGTTGGTTGCCCGTATGCGGAAAGAGAATTGACCGAGTTTTCGCTTTAAAAGTGGGAAGAGATACAAATCTCCATCAAAAAATTGTACAAATAAAAGAAAACAATCTTTTCACAGATTTTAGAAAAACTTGCCAGCAGAGAAACAGGACGGCAATTCACTTTGACACATACCGACAGATTACTGGACGAGTCATCCTACAACCCGACATCACACAAAGCCACTACTATCAGGTCTCTTACCCGACTAGCGCAATTAGTATGTAATACGACAGACAGCTTATCCGACGAGAACAAGTACCTTAACCGTGTTTTTTCAAAGAACAACTACAACGAAAACTACATCCAACGTAACACTCACAGACCTACTACTACTACTACCGAAACTAACGACAACGCAACCCCTACGACCACAGCCACTATACCATACATAAAGGGCATATCTGAGAACATCTCACGCATCCTACAACCATTCAATATCCGCGTCGCTCACAAACCTATTACCACACTACGTCAGTTACTGACTAACATCAAAGACAGAGACAAACCGAGGAACAGACAAGGAGCAGTTTATAAGATCAATTGCTCCGACTGCCACGCCTCCTACGTCGGCGAGACTGGCAGAAACCTCGCAACTAGACTGAGCTCACACAAACGAGCGACGAAGAAAGGCGATGTCAACAATCTCATTGCTGAACATCACCGACTTACGAACCACACTATTGACTGGGACTCTGCGCAATGCCTAAACTACAGCACCAACTACTTTCAATGACTGACCCTGGAAAGCTGGTTTACTAACTTGGAACAGACTCCCCTCAACAGGTGTCAAACACTACCGGCACCATACAAACGACTCATCCACGACATTAACATTACAAAAGAACCGAACAGAACGACCTTACTTCACTAACGGATCCAAACCGACCAATCACGACTGACCTACGCCACTTGAGTCTTACAGCCAATAACATCACGGCAAAACTGACCAATCAGTGTACACAAACCGGACTAAGTACATTTGACTGACAACAACCTTTCACTTGACTCTGATGATGACTTCCGCTCAGGTTGTCGAAACGTCAGTCACCACTACCGACAACAGTCCTTCTCAGGATTACACTCACACGGACGATCAAACTACACTATTACATGTTACCCCCGGGTTCAAACCATTTACTGAATTCATTTTGAGTTGACGGTTGTCATTTTTGAATATAGGAATAACATTTGCAAGCTTCCGCGAAAAAGTGAAAAAGACATATTGATAAAACGAGTGAAATAGACATAAAACCATCACTGCACATCTTAATAATCCTGTTGCCAACTCCATCATAACCATATACTTTAGATGTATCAACGCCCCTCATTAGTTGAAGTACTTGCTCTTCTGTAGCGATGAAGCTAGATAAAAACTGTTGAGTCTGATAGGGCGAGATAACAGGAGAAATGGTGTTGGCGCCTGCAAGCTCAGTCTGAAACACAAAGAAGTCGTTTAAGATACACGCTTTTTCCTTGGGATCAAATATGGGCCGTATGTTTTCGACAATGGTTGGAATAGATGAGGAATTTTCCCGACCACATACTCTCCTGAGGATTGACCACCATTTTTTACTGTTAATGTCAGTGTTGTTCAGATCCTTGTTGACTCTTTCATAAAAGGCTTTTTTTGGCAAATCGTACAATTGAGATATTAAGGTTACGTTGAGCCCGATAGCGTTCCCACGTTGCTAGAGATGGGCGTTTATTGTGAATCGGAGCAGGCGGTCCCGCCTCTTAATTGACAGGCGCACTTTACTATACATCCATGTTTAATCCTTAGCAAGTAGTGTTACCGTTTTCAGTGGAATGTACTTCTCAATAATCAAACGAAAGTAGCCATACCACCTTGACTATATTTCATCTATGTCTTTAACATTTTCATACAAAGAGATCCAGTCTAATTCCCCATTCATATTTGTAGTGTCGACGTTATTAAAATTCCACACCCGCCTTTTGTAAGATCGACTTCTGTAAGCGAAGATATTCATATTTGAGAAGATAACAGAATGGTCACAACTGGAAGGGGGATTTAAAGTCCCAGAAGTACTAAAACGCCCTGGAAAAGTTGTGGTAACTAAATCCAATATCGTCAAACTGTGACAAGTGACACGAGTTGGCTCCGCTATCAGCTGTGCCAAGTTTGTTATTTTCTAAGAAACTGTATAATTTTTTTACCTACAACATTATTCCCTGATGGATTTGTAGAGTCGTAATGAGCATTGAAATCTCCCAATACAACAACCCTATATTGTTTCGGTGGTTGACGAATTTTATCAAGAAACAGCTGAAAATATTCGAAGAAATTAGCAAGGAAAACACTATCGTCATCGTCGGGCGGCCTGTAACAACGCCACAGGGAACATCAAGGTGTGATGCGGAATTCAATCCAAAGGAATTCTATGGCGGCAAATTCCAAATTTAACCTACGCTTAGCCACGAGGGTACTAACCGTGAAGAATGCAACTCCACCACCCATTCTGTCGTGCCTGTCAAGTCGGATAATAGGGTTGTACCCTGCAATTTGTAAACAATCACTGCACACGCGATTGTTGAGCCAGGTTTCCGTGACTGCAAAAACATCAAACTCGTCATCTCTCACCAGCAAAGAAATCTCTTCAAACTTGTCACCCACGTTCAAACTTCTGGCATTTAAGTGATCGAACTTGAAAAAAGGTTCCGGATTTAGTTCAACATCATTAGACAAAACTATTCTAAGAACGATACAGAATGCAATCCATAAAAAAGTCAAGGTAGCGTCCGCGTGGTTCAAAGAATAAACAAACTTAAAACACCGCATCCGAAAACAGTTGAATAGCCCAATAGCCGCTCTATATGCCTCCAAACTAACCTCCATTATCGTATATTAACAGAAAATGAAACCTTACCTCTACCTGCATGCCATAATAAAAGTAAAAACAAACATTAGAGCGAAGATTTAAATAAATAGGGACAGATTGAAAATATATATTAGACTAAATACCACATAGTTAGAGGCCAGCATAAACTTACGAAAGGTACAAACTAGCACTAGGGCAATATGATAAATATGGTAACATTCCTTGAATCCTGAAGTGAATCCTGTGGTTCGTCGTTACTTGAAAATTATAGTTTCAAGTTCACAATAGTTCATATTTTGTGAAGCCTAATTAATTAACTACATGAAATCTTCGACCATCTGACTTCGGTTTTAAAGAATCTCCCGTCCGAGGTCCAGGAGGCATCAGCGTTAACACACTTAACTCGAGCAGTATAAAATAGTTTCTGGTTACTTTTGGTTAAGTCTTCATTGATGTAAAAGCCAGAATCCTTAAGATTTTTCCCGTTCTTCATTATTGTGAGTTTATCCTTGTGCCTTTTCAAGCAAACAAAGATTGCTCTAGCTCCTTCCTCTTTCTTACCTACCCGGTTAGCTCTGTCAACTGTATCATCGCTGACTTCCAAACCAATTTTTTCCCTGCCAAGTTTTACAAATTTAGCCGCACAATTTTCGGCTACTAATTTTCCAACCATAATGGACTACTACTCTGCCAATCATAATGTTTCATTTCCTCAGTGAGCCCCTGTAAATCACATCCATGTAAAAATGGTGGAACATGCACAATGACGAGTCTTGATTCATTCTCCTGCAAATGTACCGATGACTTTGAAGGAGACACCTGCGAAAAGCGTGAGTAACGTTTTGACAGTACATCAGTAATGTTAAACTTATGCTTTTGCCCATGAGTATATTTATTTTGTGACGAACGTAAGACATTTTATTCTGATTCTTCCACAGGACTCCCTTGCCCACCTGGGAAAAAGACGGACGATCCTCAAGGCCGTTGCTGTGTTTTTCCTTTTGAGTATGGAGGAAAAACTTACCAATCTTGTACCAAGGTAGCTCATCACAGATTGTGGTGTTCATTTGACGAAGTTTACAAAGGACAATGGGCTAACTGCGGTAAGAAATAAGCATCCCAAATTTGAATACAAAACAAAACTTATTGTGGGATCATCTGCTAGAATAGCCATTTTTTTCATAAAATGTACTGTTTGTTATTGGAACTAAAAAATGCAGATGCTACTGTTTAGAGGTAGGAAATTTTAGGGAAGTCTTTCAAAAAGTTTTTTAGAGAACCTTTCATGAGGTGTTACTGAGAAACCCTGAATAAACATTTGGACAAAACACACAATATATATTTTAAAAAATGCACATTCGAACAAATCATGTCTTAACGAGCGACAAAAGTCATATTCTGTCTTACCAATAAGCCATCCTACTAGTGTAGCCCCAGCTGCATCCTCGACGAACGCAGTTGGTATCACGGGCATGATCTTATGGGATACACTTTTCCGGTTAGGGATATGAATTTCATCTTTTGTACCAGAGAGGCTTAAGTGCAACTTTCATTTCACATTTTTTGCTCATGCTTTACTTGATAATGTAATGTTTTCAATGATTTATGGCAAAGCGCAAAAGGTTCCCCTTCCAATGCAGGCTCGGTTTTCTTCCACCAATTCGAGTAAATAATAGTTGTTGTCTATCTTCCTGTCAACGGAAAATGACCCTAAGCAAAAACTCTTTCGCGTTTTGCTACTCTTCCGAATCCTATTTGAGGAGTTTCTTTTATTTAGTCTTTCACAGCTCATTGTGATGCTATGATTTGATGGGTTATTTTGTGATCATGGATTATTGTTGACATTCTTTTGCAACAGTTGATGAATGTCAGTCATCTCCTTGTAAGAATGGAGCCAGTTGTAAGATTACTCAAGATGGTTACAGTTGTCAGCCATGTCCTGCAGGATGGGATGGGAAAAACTGTGATGAAGGTTTGATGCGTCTTTGAATTAACTATCTTTTTGGTCTTGGGAAATCACTTACGGCCAGCAGCTTAGTCCCCTTTTTACCCCCAAAATCTTTTTGCGGGTAATTTGTACTGCCATGTGCACTAAAAGACACTCCATGAGCGAAAGCAACGTTGATATGCGCGTCGGATTTCAACAGTAAATGGTGTAGAGCCATCGGAAGTTACCATTACTTCCAACTTTTTCATCCTTCCAACTAATTGGTGAGACTACGTTCTCATTTTAAATGTCTTAATACTTCAAATCTATACGCTTTCTAGGCGAAGCCAATTAACTTTTATAGTCATTACAATTAACGACGTCTGAGTTATCCATCTCATGGAACAAATAAAGGGTTTCGAATAGGAACCTAAAGATTCTCAGTGTTTTGTCTTCAAGTGTAAGTCGCTGTCTCATCAAGTCTGAGCGTAAAAATAAAGCACAGAGTGTACATTAACGATTAATACATAAAACATTGCCACCCACACGACACTAAATAACCCTCAAAAAGTAGCTTTCACCAAAGCAAACGGGATGCCGACAAGTACTTCACCTACTTTAACATTAAATACATTTTGCAATCCCTCGGCTGACAAACCTCAGATACATTTTCGCCACAGATCAAATCCTCTTCTGACCATGCATCGTTTCATCCAGTTTGCCTTCAAAGTAAGATTCGGAGTATTTTCACCAATATTAGTTTTTTTTCAGTCCTTTGTGTTTCTGCCGAGACATAAGGTTGAAATTTTGAACAATTTATAGTCAAACATGGACCAAAAAAAGTAAGACTTCTCACTGCACAGATGCTTTCATCCATTTGTTTTCTTATTTTTTTTTCCACCAGACTCGGACTCAAGTTTTTCCCCAAGAATTGAGGGTTCACCAAGATTTTTTTTTCAGTCCTTTATGTTCCTAGTGAGACCTTAGGTGGAAATTTTGAACAATGTTTAGTCAAACATAGACTACAAAAGTCAGACTTATCACTTGACAGATGTTTTAATTCATATGTTTGGTTTTTTTTCCACCAAATTCGAACTCAACATTTTGGCCCAATGACTTCTTCCAATTCTTTTGTTGCAGTCGCGTGGAAATCTGAAGGATGTTTCAAAGAGCACAAGAGGAAAGCGAAAATGGTTCTCGGACGTAAAATCGCCACCGTCCCTGGAAAGAAACTAAGCATTCAGGACATATTTGATAAGTGCAAAATTGCAGCGGAAAAGAAAGGTTTCAAGATTTTTGGTATTCGAGTGAGTGAAAAAGATTTTTTTTAACTTCGCCTACCATTCAAAAGACTATTAAATTATTTTCCATGAGCAAATTTGTGAGATATCCGACTCAGTCGAACGAAACACTCGGTTGTATAAACATAACCAAAATTTGCAATACACCCCTTTAGGCTTGGTTTGTAGTGATCGCTTTAAAAACGTTGCAAAAGCGATTTTCCTAAGGTAACTCACAAGGTAGACTGTAATCTTGATTCCCAACCATTTTTGATCTTCTTCTCTATTTGTTGTACAGAAAAGGAACAGGTGTTTCTCAACAAGTGATGGAAAAGTGCAGGAGTTTAAAAAGTATGGAGTATCATCCAAATGCAAGATAGATGACAACGGTCTTGGTGTTGGAATGAAACTCGCCAACTTTGTCTACACCAGGTAACCTGGATAGGGGCTCTTGCTCACATTCTCTTCAATCTTATTTGTCAATGCTAAAAATATAGCAAAGAATAAAAGCCAGAACAACAGAAGTAACAACTATTTATTTTCACTGAAGCATCTGAGCGGGCCGGAATCTTAAATTCTCAGATCTGATTGGCTAATCATGTCCTCGTAGCTGGTCCAGTTTTTTTATGATAAGGACTACGTAATGGAACTTCTTCCGTACCATTTACAGCAAAGCAGAAAAGGCAGACCAGCAGAGACAAAAATTGGATGAGTTAATCACCAGTCTAGGTCAGTCCTTATAGGAAAAAAGCTGTAAGGGGAGGGGAAGGGGTTTGCACTGTCGCATTTAAATTCTAGAAAATTAGAAGAAAAAAATTAACAAAACACTACAGAAAAAACAATGATCAAGAATATAAGGCAAGTCACAAGTAAGATCAAATTTAAGTAGCGACATTTAAATAACACGGCACAGTAGCTCAATATTAACATAAACGATATTTTTATTACCGTAATGATTCGATTTAGCTCCTGGGCGCTTTTTTACTTTTGATACCACAAGGGAGGGCGCCCATCGGACACAGGGGGCTTATTAGGGACAGGACGTTATTTCATCTTTTGAGGAACAGCATATTGTTCAAAACAAAGCTTTGACATTTATTTTAAAAAGCATAAAAACAGACTGGTTCCCCCTGGATCCTTCATGAACCTTCCTGGATAGAACGACCAGCGGCAGCCAAGAAATTGTCACAAAATTTTAAAATGAGAGATACATTTAATAGATGAGAGAGCTTATTAGAGAGGGTGCGAGAGGGTGCGCTTATTATAGCGAGAGCGGTAAATCGAATTATTACAGTATTACGATTATTTATCACACAGCCATGAACATAAAACTTCTATTGTTAACATGATAAATCGAGTTTTTATTTTAAATCATCTTTTCTAATCTTTTCCTTAGGCTGTAAAGATAGACTCAATGCAGAAATGCAGCAATGCACAAAATGGATTGGATGGAATTAGAAGTTCTACCTGAGTAAATTAAAAATCTTGTTGGGTTAAGGGTTTTAATTCATTAAAGGGTTAATCTGAACTAAATAAAAAACGCGGCACAAATGGGAAGAGTTTTTGTCATCTTTTATTGAAACTATTGCAGCCTTCTAAATTAACTTGTTTTCCTTGTGAGGAATTCTCAGGCCATAAGTTCTTTGGACGCAAAGGGCGAACCTACTTTTTTTCTGTATCTGTTTGTTGCTTATGATTGGGACTTTTGATGTTGTCGTCAAGATTAATGTCGTAGTATAGTTGGTGTTTTCAGGCAATCGAACGGGTGATCATATGAAGATTGAAGTCTCCCACAAGATGGTTAGCATGAAAGAATTAAGGCTCAGGAAATCTGAGAACTTCTACTGGGAAACGTTTATAGTTCTAGTTCGCCATGCTCAGACGGAAGTAAATTATTTTTCCCTTAAATACCGCAAATATAAAACCACGCACCTTAATGATTGGATGCTCAGGTGAACCAAACTGACTTTTATTTCGCATTTAAGTTCAAATAGTAGTAAGTAATTAGTATAAAGCTAGAAAGTTTTAATCGGATTTCTACAAACTCAGCGGCCAAGTTTCTTGTAAACCTATAGAAAACAGATAGAAAACAGATATCATTGACGACTTGTAACTTTTGCAGTCTGTGCAACTTTAGCAATCTCTCTTAAAATGTTCGCGACTACGGGAGCAACGGGTAAAGGAGGCACGAGTCGCACACCAGACTATAAACCTAAAATCTCTTTCCCGTATTTCTTCGCTGTAGAGTCCGCCTTAGATCTTTTAAATGTAAAAATAAGATCCTCTTCGTGAAGCTTCACGCCAACTAGTAAAAACTTTCGTCTGCGTCAAAAAAATGGCACAAAACGAGAACGATAAACAAAACATTAGACTTTGCTCATTAAAATTGCAAAACTAAGGTACATTTAGGTATGAAAACAACGTGGCCTCCAAAAATGGCAACTAGCAACATTTAACGAAGACCGCCAACAAGCGGAGTGGTAATTCCGATTCGGCCAGTGCCCCTTCTTATCAGCAAACATAGTTCGGTGACAAGCGTCCCATCCATCGCCTGGATGGCCTAACCAGAAACGCACAATTATTCGCCAATATTAGTAGAAAGAAAAAAGCAGGTGCGTGGGCGGGAATTGAAGAAACGTCAGAATCAACAACGTCAGCGAGACTAATCGATCAATTCCGTAGAGCCCTAAATGACCACGCCAAAAAATCACAAAATCATCTCTCGAGTTTTTTCAAATTGATATAAAATGTTCAGTAAAACCACAGATAAATAAATAACAACTTACACCCAGTAGACCATGGGCTAGGGAGTATGAACAGTTATTTTTTTCTCTTGACCATGGAATACTCAAAATTATTGCGGGAAGAGCCATTGGAAGCCGGAATTTACTTTGCTTAAGCTTTACTGTAACTCAATCTCATTTAAAATTTCCTTAGTAATTTAAATAAACTTAAGATTTTCAATTATAATAATTATCGAAAATTTTAATCATTTAGTACAGTATTGAAAGAACAGTGAAATTCTTAAAGTCAGTTTGTAACTGTTCTCAGGAAATTATGTTTCGACAGCCGCATACCGCTTTGGTTTAGCCACACTGTTTCATTTTCCTTTCTCCGCGAGTGAATTGCGCCTCAAATTTTCAAAGTTCTCAGAAAATCTTAAAATAAACTACATAACATTCACGTGAGGAAATGATCCTCGCAGTTGAGCGGCAGTTAGAGGTCTTAGAGTAATTGCGGGTAAAAAGCTTAAAAAAATTGGGCCAGGACAGATTTCGAACCTTTCTTCAAAGTTTTTTTGAATGAGAGTACAATGTTTCGTTAAACTGTGGTTTAAAGGCGATTTATCACTTGGGCAAACACCCACATCCTTTCATGAAGTTCCCCTCATGGCTAACGCGGTCAAATTTTAAATTTTCCATTACCATCGTCCAAGCAATAAAACCTTTATTCAAACAATTATCGACACCCTAAATTGGCATCTATCGGATCTACTTTGATGTCGATTAATGAAGATTTGAGTATTCATTCATCGCCAATAAGTTGAGCCGAAACTCTGAGCAAGAGAAGACGTTTATTGACCGAAGACAAGAAGCATATATAAAACGAACGAGCAGGCAAAAAAAGGTAACAAAGGAGCCGCGCTAATTATGCGCCAACCGTGTGACAATGAGGCTAACTAAACAACGGTGTGCATACGAGGCGGAACAATATAACAGACTAAACGACAGCGTGCACAATGCGTCACGCCATGCGAGCTAACGGCGGGAACTAAACGACAATGCGAAATATGGCGCATGTATTTGCATTTGAGTAGCAGCTCTGTCATGTTTATCTTGATTAAGAGGGAACGTAAAAAAGCATTATTACCTTTTGCGGTTACCACTATTATCATCAGACAAAAGCTCTTTTTCTCGCCTCAATCGCGAGGGGATCACGCAGATAATCATAACATGTCATACAATTAAAAATAACGACACAAACAGAATATCTCTCATGAATGGTGATGTCAATTACTGGAAAATTCACCCCCAAGCTTCGTTTGCTCTAAAATGAATCGGTTTTTTATTTGGGTACTGTATTGATTGCATTTTTTTGAAATTCAAGTTGAAAACGTCCCCTTTGAATTGCAAATCTACTCTACATAATTTCTGATTTCAATACACGTACTGGTTTAAACAGTTATGGTAGTCAATCGGGAAACTGGAAGAGTTGTGCCTTAAGTTTTGTCAGTGATGCTCATTTGTCTGTCGGCTGGTTCCTTGAGCTGTTTAGCCGTATGGAACTTCTAAGAGCATTATTTTGTTTTTGCCAATTTTGTACGTTTATTCCTAAGCGGTGTGATGTGATTATATAAATACAAGTCTTAAAATACGAGCATAACGTCCCACCAAACTTCAGTGGGCTTCATTGAAACCTCAGTTGGTAGAACAAGTTGTCGTTAAGATGTCTTATGTAATGACGTTTTGTTTGAAAAATTGATCCTAGTGAGAAATACACAAATCATCTCCTCCGCTTTTCTACTTGCAATGAGAACAGCGAGTTGCTCTCGATGATAGCTGCTAGGCGACCCGGCTCACTTTCTGGTTCAACCTCGAGAATGTTGAGAACATCATTAATAGCGTCTTTTTCATTCATATCCATTTTATATGTTAAAAGTCAAAATTTATACTGAAAGATGGCGAACTGAGAATCTGAGACGTGAATACTTTTCATTCTTGAGCTTTGCTATCAATTAATTCTGCTCATCTTTCATCAACTCACCCGCGTAATTGTTGAAAATGATCTTCATATCCTTAGCAGATGGTGTGTAGAAGAGAACTAAGGCAGAAGTGTTCTCTCCAAATGATTTTGCGATGCTTGTCATCTGTTGTGTGAGGACCCAAACGCTGATTTCCTTATGACTTGCTAGAATGGAATGTTATCAATATTCATATTTTTTATCGATTTAATTGATAAGCTCTTCGAGCCGGGCCGCGGAGTGGTAGTGACCATGAGTAAAAGTTTTCCTCATTTCCATGTTTCCGCGAAATAAGCAGTCTTGTAGTCTTTATAAGTTATATTCTTCTTTATTACGGCCTTCTTAATACCTTTTCACTTTTTCTCCTCTTTTGCCTCAAACATCTTGTAGCTGTAGTGTTTGCTCTCAATCCAACAAAGTCTTCAACGACCTTTCCACCAGCTTCATCCTTCATCATTCTCACGACCTTCTTGTTGCGACCATTTGGGGTCCCTGACACGCGATCTTCGGGGTAATTACTAGTGTCGAGCTTGTCTTCAACATCACCGCTTATATCCTTATAGAAGTCTTCAGTCGCAATCTCATACAGCAAGCTGTTAGTGTCTGTGAAGAGAAGCTTTGCACGATCTCCAGCCTTCGGCCAGGCCGCGGAGCTGCCATACTTCTTCTTGATGTAGTTATAGAGGAAGTCATACATCAGAGTCCTGCTGATATCAAGGATGCTCATTCCACAATATACTGGCTTATCAACTTAAGTTATGTCTTCTTTACATGAATCGCTACCAAATCTTTATTGAATATCGTGCAATGCTTGAAGTTTGGTTTCGCTGTAAGTTCTAGTGCTATCTTTCTATCTTTGACTAATCTCGCACCTACTCAATTCTTGATGTTTTCCACAGTTTTTGCGAAGACAGAGTTGTTCATCAACTTGAAGAAATCTTTCTCGAAGTCATTCTTCGCGTTCGCCCGTAAATTAGTATTGAGCTCGATATAGCTCTTAAGCCAAGTTTCTTCTTCGAAACTTGTACCTCTATGAATCTTTTTGATCCTCAAACCGAGATCAAGATATTGTTTCAGTGTCTTCTGATGAACTATGTATCTATCCTTATCATTCAGATTTGGAATCATTTTTTCACCTTATTTATCCTCAGTATCTCAGGAGCAAGCGGATAATCGTTTTACAATTCATGGAGCACTTTAGGATACTCAAGATCCACCTCGAGGATGCAAGGAATATTTCTCCAGTTGTCAAAGTCAGTTATCCACTTGAAATTTCCAACAAGAGGAGGCTGGCACATTGCCCATCCATAAAGGTTGTCTGCATCGAGATGTATTGAGGTGATGTATTTCGTTGGCTTTGTTTAATCATGAGCTTCACCCAAGTATTTCTTGTTTACCCGTGCAAAACGATTTGAGATCATAGAGATTCCTCCCCGATTTCCTTTTTCAGTCATCAGCAGCATGTCAGAATCAGTGAGTGATTCAAGCTCTACATCAGTCTCCTTTAAGGTAGCATCCCAAGCCAATCCAGGAGCGGGGAAATACCAAGCAGGGTCAAGCTTATGACAACCGTTTCTGGATTCTTCAAACATATTTGCCAGTAGGAGAACATCCGTTTTGAGATAAAGGTCATGGTAATCACCCATCGTCTTCATTTTGAACTCTTTCCAGACCTTCTTTACATTCTTGTAGTCTTCATGTGAGATATCACTGTCGTTCAGCTTAGAGTAGAACTCTTCTTTGGGTGGCAGTTCTGTTTCATTAAACTTAGTGGTAGTATCCATGTTGTCATATAGGTACACACCTTTCCGC